GCAAGTTAGAAAAGATATAGATGTAGTGATGTAGTATATTTTTCGTAAAACAAAGTGTCGCCTTCATCCCAAAACCGAAAACAGAGTCATCTCCACCACAAAACCAAAAAATAAACATTAATCAAAAATGAATCATCAAAAGGGTTGAACCGCTTTGTGTAGAACATATTAATTGACTGCTGGTTCCGTTATTTTTTCGATTTCAGCGAATCTAAAGAGAATTATTAAGGAGTACTATGACCGCATGTATATTTGCGAAGAGCAGAAATGGGATTTGGAACGCGAAGTTAGAAAGCGAGACTACGAGGTACCACACATTAAGAATGTCACTGTTAATTTCGTTACGTGTTTTTTTTGTTTTCTTTCGCTCTGTTACCAGATGTTTGAGAATCTCAAAACAACCTAGGTTCATCTCTAATTTTTCATTATTTTTTATTCTTACCTAAATAATATATAATAATATTTTTGGTACTACCTTTGCTACCTGAAATCAACTAAAAATAACAAAATCATGCTACCGAAAAAAAAAACGGCGTCACAGTAGCCTTTGAGACGACGACTGATAATAATTTTGATTGGAAATCGCACCCCATATAGAGTATGTCCCCCCGCATTGAAAAAATAAATTTTGTGCTTCTTTAACATTTTAAAAGAGCAAAAAACCCACAGATTTCGTAATCGCTGCAACCATCAGAGATATTGGAAATGATAACATCACATAATATAAAACATAATTAACGTTATGATTTTTCATACAGATACCTTGAAATTAAGTAAATATATTATATCTTTTAATCCTTAAATCCTTTCTGAAATATATCACTACCTAAATGAAAATATCGTTTCATTACAAACAACATAAATAATTGTCAAAACCCAAATCAAAAATTACGAAAATAGTACTGTTTTGTAACCTTTGTAAATATCAATATCAATCTATTCAATTTTATAATCGCCCCCCGTAGCATAGTCGTCAAGTAAAATCGTCGGGACTAACAAAATTAAACCTCGTATATCACCGAGAGTTTCGCGCTGTCAGGCCAGTTCACCTAAATTTAGGCATCACGCGACAAAGTTTTGATGCTTTAATTTGGTCGACTGTGCGGCTAGTGCGACACCGGTGCTGACGACCTTGAAAGAAAACTCTTTTCAAAATTTTTTATGAAGAATGTATTTTTCTCAAAATGTCAATAATAAAAAAGTTTTTTCTCTTGTAAACACAATCCGGGGACATACTGTACAATAACACTATGACAGTATATCTAAGATACACAAAAAAATACTATAATTCTTATAATCTAATAATGATTTTATATAAAATCAATAAAATAAACAAGGAATAATACAATAAAATAAACACGGTCAATCCAATTATGTGAATACGCCAAAAGAAATATCCAACAAAACCGACCAGAAGTGTTTCAATGGCTACCATGACGCGTATTTTTCTATAATTAAGAATAACTGTTGAGAGAAGAAATTTTTATGACAATTTTTAATAAATCACACTTGCGATCGAACCCATACACAATTAAGATCTATCGGCATTTCAACGCCTACTTTGACGCCGTTTATTTTGGATCATACGGCATACAGGGTGTAAATAAATAAGTGCGATTAAATTAGGAGCTAATTTCATTCTTTAAAATATTTTTTGACTGTATAAAATGTTACCAGTTTTTCTTACAAAAATATTTTATTATACAGGGTGAGTCTTAAATAAGTGCAAATGTTTTTGGGGCTGGTAGATCTCGATGAAAGAAACATATTATCTCTTTACCGATTTTCAAATAAGTCCACAATAACCGAGATATTTTAAACTCTCAAAAAATTAAAAAAAGATATATTTTTTATTTAAATTTTGAAAACCACTTTATCTTTCCTTTTATTATGTTTCTTTTAACTCAAAATTAAAACAAATTTTCAAAAAATTCCAATTTTTTTGCGATAAAAACATCATAGACATTTTTCTGGGGTCGAAATATACCCCCTACCCCTAAAAATATTTGCTATTATTTAAGACTCATCCTGTGTATAGGGTGACTCAAAAAAAGAAATTTAGTGTGTGGATGTCACTGTCAAATCATGGTTTTGTGTAGAAGCATTATTTAAGTATGTTATATACAGGATGTTTAAACAGTTACTATACTTGAATTATTTTACTGACTAATTTTGAAATATAAAAATTGTCCAAAAAACGTTAAAGTGCAGATTATTTAGTAACGTAATATACAGGCAATTAAAACTTGAAAGGACCAAACCTTATTTTTTAAATGCAATCCCTAAGCAATTTCGAATTTCATGGCACTTATTTATTTACACTCAGTATATTTTATGCCTGTTATATACATATTAACTGCCACGTGACTAGTTTGTTTTGAAACTCATTGTCTCGTCATTGGAACAAGAAATAAACACAACTGTGAAAAATGTGTTCAGCTTGACGTATACAGAGTGTTTATTGGTGCGCTATAAATATTTGAGAAGGATAGTATTACTAGTCAAAATAAGAAGAAAATATTTTAAAAGAGGTTTTTCTCATACGAAAATTTTCTACATTTAAAAATTAAACTATCCAGAAATACATCTTTTTTTAAATATAAATGGTAAATTTGAAATGTATCACAGTTTATTTATAAATAAATGTTTAAAAATAAAAAAAAATACGAAAAATACGCCATAGTATCAAAATATAAGAAAAACATTAGAAGAAAAACTGTGATATGATAAATATAAAATAACGACACTAAAAATAATAATATTAAATAAATTAATTAAAAAATAACGAAGAATAAACATAATTTAAGACAATGTTAATAAAAAGAAGTAATTTTCATTATTTTTACCAGTATTATTATATACCTGCTCAATTATTTATACGCAAAACTCATTGACACTAGTATACAAAATACAGGGTTATATTTTTATATAGTAATATGACAAAAAATAACAGTTACATGAAAACAAAAATAGAAACTTATCAATAACCCTGTATATTACACGAGAATAATTCCATTTATAGCTAAGAAATATAAACACTTTTTGTTTTATTTAAATATATTTATTCAATAAAAACAAAAACTTCGTTCGTATTTCTTAAGCTGTCACATCAATGAACCCGAATTGGCGTGCATCACAAGCAGGTTCAAACAAATAATTGACATACCCAAATTTGTAAATAATAAGCGACAAATGTATGTAATATGACATTTTACATGAAGCGTCTAGCCGTACTTTCCCATCCTCGCCTATGACTTTTTGTTTTATGTAACTAATCCAAAGTACCATCTGCCCATCATTTTAATGACAATTGTCATGTCAAGAAATATTATTGTAAAATCGATTATCCGTATGAGACATTTTACCTATTTTTTTTCTTTAATTTGCCTTCCCGTCTCTTCGCTTATGCTTTTAGTGCGCTAAAATTAAAAAAAAAATACATATACAGTGTGAGTATTTTAACAATTATTAAAATACAGGTTGCAATAGAGTATACTATTTCCATACCTTAATAAAATTAATTTAATGTGAACATTTAATCATGCTTTTTTATTTAAAATACATTTAATTACATTAAACTAAATTTTCTTCGAAATATTTCTTAGAAAAATAAAAAAATAATAAGTAAGAGTAAAATTTATTTAAAAAATATGTCCAGATTAAAATTGTTTAAAATTGAAAGCACCCGTTTAGTTAAAATAAATAACACTGTATATGCATTTTAATGAAACAAAATTTAAACAAGCAAAACGACATTAAAATGCTTTAACAATGCTTTAACCTGCAATCTGCCCGAACAGTCTGTATTCTTATTCTAACATTTTTAATCTAACGCTTAATTTTTTTTATTTATATTAAAAAAAAACAAAAATTAAGAGTACAGACTTGTAAAAAACGGCATGGCTCTTCATGCATATATATTATTTTTATTTTTTAGTTTTTATATTTTTAACCTAATAGGACGTTCCAAATTGCCAAAACTCGCCGAAATTATAATTATTTCCACTTAATTCTAATCTAGAAAATAACGGAATCTACAGTATTAGAAGTGCCATGCTTGTTTTTTCTTTTGATTTAGATCGTAGGAAAAGCATTACCGAACTTGACAGCTTATTAACGGGTTGATTTAGAAAACAAGCATACTTTTCGTAACGCACCGTATACGTGGGTTAAGAAGGTATGTTTTGTAGAACCTGTATATATGACGTTAAATCAACTCGACAATCAGGAACCAGCAATGTTATTAGCCCGGTATTTTTTGTATTTTGTAAATGTATATTGTTCTTTTTTTATTCAGTGTATATATACATATATCGTACGTCGAATGCAGTCCAAGAAGTGTTTTTGTATCTACAATTTTTTTAACCTGTATATTGTGTATATATATTTGTAATTTTTGTATGTAGGACAGTACCTGCGATTATACCGTAGTGAGAGAATAGAAAAATCCCCATTTTTCTATTAATTTCTTTTTGTTGTTCGTTTTGTCAAAACTTTGTCTATCTTTTTTGAAAATTCCTTTATATTATCATCTGTAAAATACGAATCATAAAAGGAAAAAATATTTTTTTTTATTTCCTTCTTCTATTACTAACACTGTGTCACCAAAATGCTGTCGCTATCTTTGTTGTAGTGTTTTTGCTCACTGATTTTCATGCTTATTTTCTGTTTTGTTTGTGTTTCTCAATTAATTTTTATAAAACTTTGTTCACTTTATTAGATTTTTTCTCTAAATTAAATTTAAAAAAAAACTCTAATTATGTTGTTATTGAGCAAAATAGGAATTATTTTTATATTTTTTTAATAAACACAGTAAATCCCTAAAAATATAACTTTATATGATTAAAACTAATTGGTATTAGAGAAACGAACAAGGGTTTATAAAATGTTATTTTTACTCATATCGAGGCACATGTAGCAATTAAAAATTAATTGCTATCTGTATCAAAAATTGGTCTATTTTAGTTTTCTATAAATATGTTTTTTTTTGTTTTTAACAGATCAACGATTTGAACAGCCAAGTTAATGACCTCAGAGGCAAATTGTGAGTATATTATACTGTAACAAATACTATAACCCTTTTTTATAAACTCCCCGGCACAAAATTCCGCCACCCTAAAATTTTGACTAAGTTTGATGTTCCGTTTTTTGCAATAAAATCAAAACACCCTGTGGAAAAAATGGGATGCGCATTTTGGATAAAAAAATACTTTCCTGTAATCTTAGAGGTATTCCTAACATTTCATTTTTTGAATTATCCTATTATCTCTATTTTTTATGAGCTAAACATTTTTAAATTAAAAGAATTTGTTGAAAATGTAGCTCTCAATGTCCACCGTTATATTGAGGATGTTCTGCAAGAAATTGTTGGTCTATTTGCCCCTACATTGCGCGGGGTAACGAGTACGAGTAGTTAACAACTATATCTGGATGAGATTGGACTACGAAGATTGGAATGACCTCCTTGTAGCCCTGACTCAAACCAATCGAACATTTTTGCGATGAACTTAAAAGAGCTGTTTGTCGTCGTCCTTTTTTACCACAACAGTTCAGTCATTGGGGATTTTTGCTTGGAAAAAAGTCCGGAAGTTTTGCAACTTTGCAGGTTTATAGGTTTTGGAGTCCTAACTAAAGTCCATAAAATGCACATTTCCAAGATGGCGCCCAAAATCGGTATTTTGTGAATATCTCAAAAACTATGCGTTTTTTCGCGAAAATTTGAGGAGAGCAAAATTAAAGAGAATAAAATTTCCTATAAAAAATATTTTATGAAAATTTTCGCTAAAGTCAACCGTTTAGGCACAAAATCCCTGGAAATTTTACAATTTTGCATAAAATATGATATATTATGTATAGTCGATTTTCCGAAATCAAATGTCGATTAGGGTTAACTAAAACTAGTTTTAGTTTAGTTTCTTGAATTTTGTCATAAAACAGTGGCGTATCATTAATTCGCTCATTAATTTATGAATAATTAATTTTAATTATTGAAAATGTGTACTTCTTTCCACACCACCCGCCCAAGGGGTAAAGTCATGGGGCGTTTATTTTAACGTGGTCTCCCCGGAGGCCTATTCCTCTAGGTAAATTAAAAACTTTAACTTATCTGTACAAGCCCGACGGACCTGGCTCTTTGATGTAAAGTCGATTGTGTCTGCTGTGCTGAGCTCATCAGGGTGGTCTCTCAATTCGTCCAACTCTTTCTTCAGCCGCCAGAGGTATAACTACAGGCAAGTCCTCTTCATCGGATTCGTCAAGTGACACTTCAGTGACGTTGTCACAGGATTTCCCATTGCAGTATGCACAAATCATTGATCATTTTAATCCTGCTTTTCTGCATCCGCAGGCTTTACCAAAGTTGTTGGTTTTGCATTTACAGGATAAAAATGCCTATAGGGATTTTGGAGCTGGATCTGTCAACGTTGTGACTGGAGTAATGCCTGTTTTTGTTTTCTTCCAACCCCATTCTTCGGCATCTTTGGTACAACCAGACCAATGCTGAATCTGGTGGTATGTTCGCAATGAATGCTGTCCAGCACGACAATTAATTATTCATAAATTAATTATTATTATATTAAACGAATTAATGATATGCCACTGTTTTATGACAAAATTGAAGAAACTAAACTAAAACTAGTTTTAGTGAACCGACATTTGATTTCGGAAAATCGACCATACATAATATATCATATTTTACGCAAAATTGTAAAATTTCCAGGGATTTCGTGCCTAAACGGTTGACTTCAGCGAAAATTTTCATAGAACCTTTTTTATAGGAAATTTTATTCTCTTTAATTTTGCTCTCCCCAAATTTTTGAGAAAAACGCATAGTTTTCGAGATATTTACACAATACCGATTTTAGGCGCCATCTTGGCAAGATGGCGGCGACGGCGGCAAGTCTGGAAATGTGCATTTTATGGATTTTAGTTAGGGACCCCAAAATCTATAAACCTGCAAAGTTTCAAAACTTCCGGACTTTTTTCCAAGCAGGCCCCTTTTTGGATCCCCAATGACTGAACTACAAACTTTACAAGAACTATGGCTAGCATTAAGGGAGATTCCTCCCTTAATGCTAGCCTTAGCTCTTATAAAGGGTTTTCTTGATCTATAGTTTGATATTTATCAAGCTATAAATCAAGAGAGAATAACTACCCTTCATTCATTCGATACGACGAGGACCTCGAGCTGTTATTGCTGCGAGAGGTGGACATATACGCCATTAAAATTATTATAAAATTGTTGTTTTTGTCAATAAAAGAACCTCTGAAATCAATACTTTACTTAAAAATGTGTAGCTTATAAAAGAATAGAAATAATGGGATAATTCAAAAAATGAAATGTTAGGAATACATCTAAGAATACAGGAAAATATTTTTTATCCAAAATGCCCGTCCCATTTTTTCAACAGTGTGTTTTGAATTTATTGGAAAAAACAACGTTGTGAGTTACCCCTGTATAATCTAAATTATATATTTCATCTAAATCAATTAATATAGTCAGTTCAAAAAATATTATAAAATAAAAATAAAATGTTTCCTTTGAATTTTACATGACTATTTGCTTGTCAACAGTGTCAAACCAACCCTGAAGAAAGTCTCCAAATACGAGAACAAATTCGCCAAGCTTCAAAGAAAGGCGGCAGAATTCAACTTCCGTAACCAACTGAAGGTCGTCAAAAAGAAGGAATTCACCCTAGAGGAAGAAGATAAAGAGGTAATAGCTTTAAAATTCAAACTAAATGGCAAATAAGACGTATATTTACCCCAATAAGGTCCAACCCCTTATATTTTATTTTTTAACTTTCAAGGTGTTAATTTTTTTAAATAAAATTGAAACAATACAATAACTTTTGCACGAATTCTATTTCGTAGAAAGTTGATTTTTTGATTTTTATTCTCGTATTAAATAATTCGCATAGATTCTAATTTTATAGACGAAATTCCAGAAAGTCTAAAACATTTTGCCTGTCTTTTTCCATAGATCCTTTTGTTTATATAAAATAATGAAAAGAATTTTAGACTTTAGACAGTCTTTTTTTGTTAGGACGCTTCTTAGAATCGATCCAGATTTGACAGATACTATAATTTTTGTCCATCATAAATTTTCGTCTGTACCTGTATGACTCTACTGAGTGAAAAAATATTTTTACTTTTTTTTATGTAAAAATAAGATCTCATGGTAAAAACCGCGTTGACTTATTGTTTTCCAGATATTTGGATTCGAAATAATCGACACAAGGCATAGATAGTTATTGGATTGAAATCCAAAAAACATTTGATTTAAATGCTTTATCATTTAAATGCTTTAAATGATAAAGGATCATGGATAATCATCATAATAAACTTGATGCTGTACCTGTGTACCAATATGATCTGGTTGTGTGGTAGAAAGTTAAATTTTTATGCATATTATATTTGCATCGATAAATTTGCAGCTTCTAAATAACGGTCTAGATAAATCATCTAGCTCATTTGCTAACTCAGAATTAGAGTTATTAGAGTTAAGCAACCTCGCATTTTCATTGGACATTGTCATATTTATTTCAAAACAATAATCAACGAGAATATTCGTTTAATTTAACCAAATTACTGTAAACCACTATAAATACGAATTGTTTGGTTAGGTTCAAAATTTTTTCTCTTCTTAAATAAATTTAAACGTTAATATCATTAGGCATTTGCATAAAAGTGTGTATTTTGGACGGTATTCCACATTTGCAGATTATTGAGAAAACAGAAAAATGAGTAGAGATTACAGAAATAAATTGAAAATAATATTTATATTAAAATAGCATTATATGTCACTTTCTCAAACATGTCTTGTCATTGTTTTTTACGTGGAAATTGTATATTTCTTTTGCTCGGTAGTTTTATACAGGTACGAACGAAAAGTTTTTACCCCGATTACTTCTAGACTATTCTACAAAATAGATATAAAAAATATTAACACCCTTAATATTACTATGACACTATAATATAGATGTGTTTTTAATATTCATACAATTCTCCCTTATTTTAATATTTTCCCCTTTTTTATTTCTTGCTCTAATTTTAACGAAAAATTAGCTCTTCCACACACACTTTCCGGAGTCCTGCTACAACAGTTTCTTAATTTTACAGAAACCAAAACAGGAAAAAGCTGAATGGCAGAAGAAGTAAATTTCCACCGATATTATTATCCTTACTATTTTTAATTTTCCAAAAAAACTATTATTTATTACACTTACGTATATATAACAAGCACAGAAAATTTTATTAAAAATACCTTAGGTATGTTTTATTTGGTCAAATAAAATTAATGTATTTTGAAAAAAATGTGGTTTTAATTCAAGCGTTTATTCAAAAACCTTCTGCTATTTTTTTTGGATTTTTTGAAACTGTTTTTACATTTTTGATACTTTTTTTTCGAATGTAAAACAGAGAAACACATTTTTGCATTTTGCTAATGCCTACTTATTTTTATCTTTTTTTTATGCAATCCTTTTTTTTTGAAAATATCTAAACGGCATACATAGTTTTTTTTAAGTATATTTGAGATGTTTAGTGCTTTTACTATGTTTGCCACTTTAGATATTCTTAGACAGGTGAGATATCTTCGAAGCTGATGAAGATTTGGGTTTGACTTCTTGTTTTGTTGTCTTTCAGATGCTGTACAATGTTTAAAAGCTACGCAATTATACAAAACGCAGGGTGTAAATAACTAAATTCAAGAATAGGAAATTATTTCCGTTTTAAAAATATAATGCGTAATAAATTCAATTTTCTTTTTTCTCTCGTATTCGACGCCATCACATGGAAAAAAAATTTTAGCAAAATTTACACTTTTTCTGTAAATTTACACTTTTTGTGTAAGCTTGCACTTCTTCTGTAAACTTACGCTTTTACTGTAAATTTGTACTTCTTCTGTAGATTTACACTTTTTTCTGTAAACTTACGCTTTTATTGTAAATTTGCACCTTTTTTGCAAAATTACACTTTTTCTGTAAACTTACGCTTTTACTGTAAATTTGCACTTTTTCTGTAAATTTACACTTTTTCTGTAAACTTACGCTTTTACTGTAAATTTGCATTTTTCTGTAAATTTAAACTTTTTATGCAAATTTACAGATTTTCTTTTTGCGGTGTTAGTGTATGTCGCATGCAATTTACACAAAAAATGTAAATTTACAGAAAACGTGTAAATTTATAGAAAAATTGTAAATTTGCAGAAAAACTGTGAATTTTGCTAAAAATATTTTTCAACGTTGGTATAGCAGCTCTCTGCTTTCGTAATTTACACCCTGTATATAATAAAATTGATATTTGATACCAGTTTGCAATGCTGTAACTCAAAAATTTGTGCTACATGCTTATACACTGTTTAGAATTTTGTTTGTTTATTCTTTAGTTACATTTTTCTATCTTGTATTGGTTCTTTTGGGGTTTAAATTTACCCAGGACTTTTTTGCATTTGCACACGCAAAAACTCCAAATATTTTATGAGAAAGAAACAGGACTATTAAAAACGTTTATTGGCACAATGTTTGTGACGCATTTGTATATCCATTGGCGTATCTAACATATACATAGTATTGATGAATTAAAGTAATGTCATAGTAATCGAAAAAAAATTCAATTTGAGAATTTTGATTTTAGATGCGTCAATGTGTTTTGTCTACTACGCTTAATTTGTTGATCAAAACATTTAGTCACGATATATTCTAACACAGAAAATATTTATTTTGTTATTTAATATTTCAGAAAAAGCCAGACTGGTCCAAGAAGGGAGAGAAGGTACAAGAAGTTGAAGCATGAACACCCTAATTTTAATCCAACTCGTATTTTTTATCGTTTTTGTTCCATTACACTATAACCATGTTCCGTAAAAGTGTTGAAATGTTGTGTTGTCCCGTATTGTGACAATCACCGTTCACTTTGTCTATCTATCAATCCTTTATTTGTTTATAATAAAACCTTATTACATAATTAAAGCTGTTTAAGTGTGTTTACTGTGTCTTATTTGTTCTTTCCCTGTCACTTGTCACTTAGGATTAATTTTTTTTAAAAAAGAATTCAAGTAATTTCAAAAAATTACACACATCCACCAAGATATCCCGAAACATTTAATTTTCAACTACACTCACCGGCAAAAAAAACCGGCCACTAAAAACTAGTCCCAATTTCAAAGTTGGATTTTTCGTGAACCACTCATTAGATTTTGATGATTTTTTTTTAAATTGAAAATTAATTCCTTCTTAACGGATGCTACGTCAGAAATTTTTATTCCGAATTTATTTTGAGCATATACAGGGCACAACAATAAGACGAAGTTTTTTGCAGCAGCTGTGGTAGCTATTGCTAAATCAAATCATATTGTAGCCTCATCTTTTGTGAGCATTTTGTTCTTTTAATCACGATATTATCTCTGTTGTTATTGGAGATACGCTGCTTTAAAACAAACGCCTCGAAAAAAGCCATTTACTCCATTGCTCAATATCCCAATACACATATAAACGCGCAAACTGAAGACGTGCTTTACGATGTCTTGGAAGTAGCTGGGGTCCTATGGCAGGCCTCCTTGCAGACAAGCTGTTTTCTTTTAGTCGTCGACGGATTATTCTCTCACTGACTTGAGTCCTACAGCAGATGTTGATGCTGAAACGCTGTAATTCTACGATTTCGTAAAGTATTAAGGACAATAAAGCGGTCGTCAATGGAATTTGTCTTCCGTTTTCTTCTGGAGCCCACTCGCCTGGTAAAATTTTCCGTTTCCATATACCGATTCCAGGCATCCTGGACCGTTGTTCGAGGTATACCCAGGGTTTAGGACACATAACGTTGACTTTGGCCATCCTCAATTAAAGCCACAATACGAGCAACATCCGTCACAGATAATGGCATTTTTTAATATGACAACCGTCGTTGTCATGTTGCAAATACTCATAAATCCGTTTTCGCTTATGTCGCGTCGCCTTGATTATTTACACATAAAACGTTCTGCCTGTGAAGCATGTTTCCGAGACGTTTGTTTTAAACAAAGTGTGTCGTGATTAAAAAAACAAAATGATCACAAAAGATGAGGCTATAATATGATTTGATTTAGCAATAGCTACTACAGCTGCTGCACCCAACAGGGTGTTTTTTTTCCATAACAAGGGGCCGTCCTCTGCTGGAAACACTGCGACCTGTGAGGGCTATTGTGTTTGTCCCCCTTCTATATCTGCACCCATTCTCCTATCCCTGTGCCCTGCACTAGCTTATGCAGGTCCTTGATAGGATGGGAGCATAGTTCCTCTGGTTCTAGCCTAGCTTTCCCAAATAAAGAGTGTCGCTTGCGATCCAGAGCCTCGCAGTGACATATTATGTGCTCCGCTGTTTCAGGATCTTTATCGCAGAGTCTGCAGCAAAGAGTTCCTTGATACAGGTTGAGCTTGTTCAGATAACTCTTGACAGCCATGTGTCCTGTCAAGAGGCCTGTTGTAATCCGCACTTTATTCCTGCTAAGCATTAGCAGTTCTTTTGCGGTTTTAGAGCTAGGTCCTTGGATAAAAGCCTTGCTGTGCCTGTGCCCCTGTCTGTTTCTCCAGTGGACATTGTGCTTTTCCTTGATTGTTTTAGTGCACTACGGGCCATACATTTGGGTATTCCCATTACTGGCTCTGGACCAAGATAGGATGCGGATGATCCCTGCCTAGCTAGCTCATCTTTTTTTTTGTTGCCTTGGATGCCGCTGTGGCCCGGCACCCAGGTGTTACAAAGTTCGGACAAAAAACATCGTCTTATTGTTTTGCCCTGTATATGCTGAAAATAAATTCGGAATAAAAATTTCTGACGTAGCATCCGTTAACAAGGAATTAATTGACGATTTAAAAAAAAATCATGGTTCTAATGAGTGGTTCGCGAGAAATCCAACTTTGAAATTGGGACTAGTTTTTAGTGGCCGGTTTTTTTTGCCGGTGAGTTTATATTTCTTTATAAGTGTATTCAGAAAATAAAGCAAGAGATCGTAAAAGAGTGTTCAGCCATCGTTAAAAATTACGTCATCAATTTTTGTCAAATATAAGTTTTAGGGTGTGTCTGAGATCAGATCATATTGTTTAGAAAATTTTAAGAACGTTCCTATAATATTGATTGAGCGAGTTCCGTTTTTTTTCGGCATTTATTAATTTTTTCTTGAACTCTTCATCAGTTACGATCCCTTTAGTTCCAATCCTTTAGACTATTCTATTATATCTAAACCATCCGCAACTAGCTATATTATTTAAAAACGTTATGAATTTGTATTTTATAAAGGAATATTACACCTATGCATTGTACTTACTTCGTATACGGAGTCCACGGGCAAGAATGTTCTACCAGTGTCTCCTTCTCGAGAAAAATAATTTATAAGCTTAGGAATGAGCTCTTGTTCATTTTGGTTAAATCTTTCAGGCATTTTTGCAATAAAAAAAATTGTATTTTGTTTTACAGCAAGAATCAAATTTTAATTTTGACATTGATCGATATCCGTCAATAAAATTATAACCCCAAATCAAACGACAATGACATATGCTAAAAAGAATATGCAGTAATTTACGAAATGCCGTAATGACGAAATGACGTCACCAATCTCTATCATCTGGTTGTCAGGTGATCGAGAGAGTTCGAAAATATATGACGTCACGTTGAACAATGGCTGAACATTCTATATTTTTGCTTTTCGCTGGAAAATACAATTACTTTTTTTAATTACACACTTGAATTTCAATTATAGTTAAGGCGTTATTGCTAGAACTAGGTTATATGTTAGAATATAACCTAGTTATAGCATAAGATCGAAAAAAACGGTGTCAATGACTGCTGGGAAATGACAGTCAATGACAATTTTAGCGAGCTCAATCCCTAACCTTCGTTATTTGGCCCGTAATCTTCTGTATTTTTTAATGGTGTAGTTTAAAATTCGGAAATAAATCATTTTTGAAATAGATTTGTGTGTCTGGCAACGCTCCATTCTTTTTTAATCTCTCTATAATTAGTGTTAATTTTTGTTTTAAGTCAAGTTTTATGTCAATTTTGAGTAAATAACGTCTAGGCATTGACCACGCCAATTTGAAGCCGTTTTTTTCGATCGTTCAGTATTAACCTATGCTGATTATATCATATTCATTGACATAATAAAGAATAAAAGATATAACTAATATACATTGATATAATTATATTTTATGTAATGTAATAAAAGGATGGTAGTGTTTCTTCACAAAAGCGATCAAAAATTATTTTCAATTCTTTTTTCAAAAATTCTAATCCTCTAATTATTGTTGTTCTTAAATATAAATTTACAAAAAATAGAACAGAAAAATATTTAATTATATTTTTTACTTTATTTTCAGGAGGGAGGTAAGAAATGTCTTTTTATAATTGACATGTGATACAAGTAAGCATAACTAAAAATATCCGAATAGTTATACAAACAATATCTAGAGTCTAGAGTTACATACAATATATTTCATGCTCTATAAATAACTATAGAAATGCTATTGTATTTTAAGGCAGGTCTACACACAATTATAGTCTAGTATAAACGGACATTAACTAATCTTCATAATACACCTAGTAGTTCAATCATTGGGGATCAAAAATGGGCCCTGCTTGGAAAAAAGTCCGGAAGTTTTGCAACTTTGCAGGTTTATAGGTTTTGGGGTTCCTAACTAAAATCCATAAAATGCACATTTCCAGATTTGCCACCGGCGCCGCCATCTTGCCAAAATGGCGCCCAAAATCGGTATTTTGTAAATATCTCGAAAACTATGCGTTTTTCGCAAAAAATTGAAGAGAGCAAAATTAAAGAGAATAAAATTTCTATATGAAAATTTTCGCTAAAGTCAACCGTTTAGGCACAAAATCCCTGGAAATTTTACAATTTTGCTATCGGGTTTAAATAAAAAAGTAAAAAGTAAAAAAATAAAAAAGTATGATATACATACTATAGTCGATTTTCCGAAATCAAATGTCGATTAGTGTTCACTAAAACTAGTTTTAGTTTAGTTTCTTCAATTTGGTCATGGAAGAGTATGGTATCATTAATTCGCTCATTAATTTATGAATAATTAATTGTCGTGCTGGACAGCATTCATTGCGAACTTACCACCAGGTTCAGCATTTGTCTGGTTGTACCAAAGATGCCGAAGAATAGGGTTGGAAGAAAACAAAAACAGGCATTACTCCAGTCACAACGTTGAAAGATCCAGCTCCCTAGTGGCATTTTTATCCTGTAAATGCAAAACCAACAACTGTGGTAAAGCCACAAATGCCTGCGGATGCAGAAAAGCCGGAATAAAATGTTCAATAATTTGTGCAACTGCAATGGGAAATCCTGTGACGTCACTGAAGTGTCACTCGAGGAATCCGATGAAGAAGTGTTGGACTTGCCTGTAGATATCCCTCTGGCGGCTGAAGATGAAGAGTTGGACGTATTGAGAGACCACCCTGATGAGCCCAGCACAGCAGACACGATCAACTTTGACATCAATGAGCCAGATCCGTCGGGCTTGTGCAGATAAGTTAAAGTTTTTAATTTACCTAGTGGAGTAGGCCCCCGGGGAGACCACGTTAAAATAAACGCGCCATGTACTTTATCTCTTGGGTGGTGTGGAAACAAGTACCTACACATTTTCAATAATTAAAATTAATTATTCATAAATTAATGAGCGAATTAACTAAACTAAAACTAGTTTTAGGAACCCTAATCGACATTTGATTTCGGAAAATCGACTATACATAATATATCATATTTTACGCAAAATTGTAAAATTTCCAGGGATTTTGTGCCTAAACGGTTGACTTTAGCGAAAATTTTCATAAAACCTTTTTTATAGAAAATTTTATTCTCTTTAATTTGCTCTCCTCAAATTTTCGCGAAAAACACATAGTTTTTGAGATATTCACAAAATACCGATTTTGGGCGCCATCTTGTCAAGATGGCGGCGCCGACGGCAAGTCTGAAAATATGCATTTTATGGATTTTAGTTAGGGACCCCAAAACCTATAAACCTGCAAAGTTGCAAAGACTTTTTTCCAAGCAAAAATCCCCAATGACTGAACTATAGATTCAAAAGTTGAGCATCACTTTGTTTCAATGTGAAAAATACTATCATCAATCTGATAAATAGCATGGCTATACCGGGTGTGTCTCAAATAATTTTTTTATTTCTCCAGATAAAAAAAAACGATATTTGGTATATTAGTATATGACATAAATTAGGATTGACTGACCTATTAAAATGTTTTCGGTCACTTCCTGTTTCACCGGAAATTACTACAACTTCTGATTTTTAAATAACACCCTCGGTATTTTTTTTTACTTTATTCGATAGAAAATGGCACTCTGAATAGAATGTCATATCATATGTCAATTTTTGATATTCTGATATATTGTTTATTTGAAATTGTAATATGCAATTGATAACAACAATTTGACTCGAAATACCATGTGTGTGGTACGAAATTATTCGTAAAAAAATGTTTTTTTTCCAAATATGATAATGAGCCAACTTTATTCCATTTTAAAAAAAATGAGATATGATTAAAAATACGATTTAGGCATGTTTTAACCGGCCAGGAAAGACACTAAACACATTAGACGATCAAATCTATTTTTCCATAGCCCCTTGATTAGAAATTGGTATTTTTAGCACAGCCATGGTACTCTATATTGAAATTTATTATATAATATACTAGCGTGTACCCGCCACTTCGTTCGCGTCGAATTAATCTTTTGTAATGGTGATGATAAAGCAAAGCAAGAATTTCTATTAACATAAAAACTGGATAACATTTTCTCACATTTATGTCAGCATGAGAAAAAACAAAATGGCGATATTATTATATAACTTGGTAATATTTGAGGGGTAGTTTCATCTCGTTGGAATTTGACTTTCAAAAAATTCGTTTGCCAAAAATAAGCTTTTTACATCAAGCAGTTTAAACAGAATCGTGGTTAAGAAATTACCCAATTTTTTGAAACACCCTGTATGATTTTTTAAAAAATTTCCATCCATGAAAGTAGGATCCCATAATACTCGATGCTCACGAAATAACTCGATTAAATGAGTGGTAAGTTCTTTCGACCATTCCATTGCGTAAAAAAATTTACAAAAATCACTGTGTAAAGGAGGGTCCACATTTAGTAACATGTTATATAACATTGCTATATAACAAGCTACATGTAACATGTTAAAAAACCGGGAGCCGTCCACATTATAGTTTTCGTAGTCATGAATCGTTTTGGCGAGAAAGAGGTTCAGCTCGCAGCAGCGGCGTGCGTAATTATTTTTGAACAAAGGGAAAGAAAGTCGAAAAAAAAGCGGTTTTGAGTCCGCCATAGCCTACCAGCAAGATCTAGACACAGTTGAACTCAATTAGCTTATCTTTTCAATACTTGCCTCGGCTGTTTCTCGTGGTGTGTTTCTGTCTTTTAAAAACATTAATAACTTAAAAGCAAAAGCAAACCATTTTGAATTATCCACTTCGTCTAAACCATGCAGTACCTGATTTGCATTTCTTTTGTTCCCTCTGGAACTGGCCTATTAGATAACGCATTTTTTTCTCAACTTTTTCTCTTTCCAAATACATACTATGAAATGAAAATCGCTGTCATTTTATATGGAAAATTATATTGGGAATGTCAAAATTATATGAGGAATGTCGTCATGTCCAAGCCCACTGGACGGGAGGCCGACGGGATGCAGTTTTTTTTTGATCATACGGTATTATTGACCAGTAAATAAACAAACCAATATCAGCTCACCACACTAAGATTCTGTCGCGCACGTCCCTGAAAATATGAGCGGCTAAACTAGAAATTTAGCAAGTGTGGACACGTTGTTTCATGTTACAATAGCAATGTTGCACAACATCTTTTGATCTTTACCGACTACAAATGGATAACATCTAGCAAGTTATATAGCATCGAAATTTGCTAAATATAACTAAAAAATATGTAACATGTTATATAACTTTGCTATATAGCAGTGTTATATAGCAAGTGTGGACCGTCCTTAACGCAAGAGTTCTGGCAATACTAAATTCAAACGCCGCTCGTCCTGCAGTAAATGTTTAATAACACAAGTGTGGACAAGTCGCGGCGTGTTATAAAACAAAGTTTTATAACTTTCTTTGATCTTTACCGACACCTAATGGATAACAAAATTTTTGCTATATAACAAGAAAACTGTTGTATAACATTGTGTTTTATAACTTTTTTACTTGAATTTCTATAACAAGTTATAAAACTTCGTTATTTAACATGTTTTGTTACATAGTCTGGACCCGGCTTTAGAATTCGAGTTTCGAAAAATCCCTTTTTATAGAACCTCTACACCCCAAAGACAATCCGTTTTCCAAAAATCAGCTTTTTACGTCAAGCGCTTTAAGCAGGATCGTGATTAATCAATGACCACATTTTCTATTAACTGTGCCTAAGCCGTTTAATAAATTAAACCATAATTTAAAGTTTTAAATTTAAACGTGCCGAGTTTATGATTGTTTCAATTTCTATTGAAAAGCTCATATCTAAAATAAAAGCTTCTTCTAAAACGATATAAGTATGTCCTTGTTTACGTGCGGTTCGTGTTTCTTTTTATTTTATCAGTTGCAATCAATAACTATTTAGATAAAAGAAGAAAATTAATTTTAGTGTTCGGCAGGTGTTCGGTGAAATTTGGGTGAGATGGAAATGAACCAAATAATAGTAGTATTCTTTCGTTCCGAACGAAATGAAAATTTTCACTTAAACTGATTTATTACTACATGGTATAGGAAATAACAATGATTTCTGGATTTTTCTATATCGGATCGTTCCTTTCTTTGTCGATTCCCTTTATAAATCAGTTTAAGTGAAAATTTTCAGTTCGTTCCGAACGAAAGAATACTACTAATATACTAATCTCAGTACTAATAGTACTACTATACTAATTACTAATATTCGTATTCGTCCATAAGAGGTGATGTTTTATGTTCATTTGTAATTCACAGTTGTTACCACAGATATAATATAAAATATTACTAATTTCTATCTCGATTATATCGAAAAAGATAATTCGAATTAGTTAGTTTTAATTTACTATCTTTACGAAACACCCTGTATACATTTTTAAAAATCTTAAAATATGTAAAAAAACTAAATAAAATATACTTGTTTAAGCGTTTTTTCTGAAACTTGACCGTTTTTTAAATAAAAAATATTGTAATATTTGAGGGGTGGTTTCACCCTCTTGGAACTGGAATTTCGAAAAATCCCTTCTTATCGAACCTCTACATCTTAGAATCAACCTGTATGCCAAAATTGAGCTTCTTTGAGTGGTCTGAGCAGGATCGTGATTAATCAGTATGTCAGTCACTTAAGGATTTTATATATTAGTATTGATTGATTTTTTAAGTAAGTATGTCAAAAGTTGACATATGATATGTCATTCTATCCAGAGTATCATTTTCTATCGAATAAAGTAAAACTACTGAGTGTGCCATTTAAAAATCAAAAGTTGTAGTTATTTCCGGTAAAACAGAACGTGACCGAACACAATTCAATACGTCAATCAATCCTAATTTCTGTCATACACTAACTTACCAAATCTCGTTTTTTTTATCTGAAAAAATAAAAAAGTTATAGGAGTGAGCTACGTTTGAGATGCACCCGATATAAATAGAAATATTTATTTAAAAATAAGATGTATCTAATAATATCTAAGAAACAAGAAATTATCTTTAGAGTTACCAAAAAAAAAAAATTTTATATAAATCGGCTTTTCAATAAACATGTATATACACCGATATTGGCAATATTCAATAGAGTTTACTTTGTAAAACTTTCCACAAAGATAGAGAAAAACAAAACAACAATATCAAACAACATGAAATATCTATTATTTATGTCTCTATTATCAAGTAAATGCTAAAAGAAAATATCCGAAGCTACTCCATACAATTTCTGTTATTTTATAAAAATAAACTACACTGATAAACATTTAAACTCAATAGTGATTCAGAATTATTTACAAAATAAATTACAAAACAATAATTCACAACCTAAACAAAAAAAACAAATTTTCAAAATTAAGTTCTAAAAAGCTTCATTCAGAACCTCGCAATTAGTGGAACAAATTGGTGGTTTCAATTAGCGTAGAAATTTGTTCCTCTAAGTTGAATGTAAGTATTCAGAACGTCAAAATTAGTGGTAAGAATTTTCAATTAGAGGAAAATGTTACCAAACTTTTAACTTTTCTACTAATTATACTTCAAAATTTGAGAGGAATGTCATTTTGGCCTTTGATTAACACCCGTCAAGAAAAATTGGTTAGAAATCAAAAGTTTAAGTTAAGGAACTTTAAGCTTCATTCAGAACCTCCCAATTAGTGGAATAGATTAGTGGTTTCAATTACACTTTATACTTTTTAGTTTACGATCATTCACCATATCTAAAAAACACAATTAAACTTAATAAAATATCCTAGCAACAGCTTGCGGTAGTCTGTTGTATCCAAAGAGAAAGCATAATATTTAGTTTATAAAACAATAAACTTTTGATTTCTAACCAAAAATTTTCTTGACGGGTGATAATTAAAGTCAAAAATAACATTCCTCGCGAATTTTGAAGTATAATTAGTGGAAAAGTCAAAAGTTTGTTAACTTTTTCCACTATGTAATTGAAAATTACTACCACTAATTATGACGTTCTGAATGCTTACATTAAAATTAGGTGAACAAACTTCTACGCTAATTGAAACTACTAATTTATTCCACTGATTTCGATGTTCCGAATGAAGCTTAAAGTTTGATAACTTTTTCTAATAATTGAAAATGTCTACCACCATTAATTCTGACGTTCAGAATGCTTACAGTCAAATTACAGGAACAAGCTTCTACGCTAATTGAAACCACTAATTTATTCCACTAATTGCCTGGTTCTGAATGAAGCTTAATTTTACTCTTTTTACTAATTAAAATCGATGAATATGCTAGACAAATCCTTTAATCAAATCTAATTATACATATCTGTAAAAAACACATAAATAGAAGGTGAGGAAGGAGGTGAACCTCCACAAGAACCTCCGGCAGACGGTCAACCTCCTGCTGAAGGTGAACAACCGGCCGAAGAGAAACCAGCTGAAGGTCAAGCTGAGGGACAACCTCCAGCGGAAGGCGAAGCTCCAGCTGAAGGACAACCTCCAAGTGAAGGAACGCCAGCAGAAGGTTAGCAAAAATATATCAGATATGGTAATCGCAAAACAATTTCCGATGCACGTGATCAACTGTGAATGACAAGCGATGGCGACAGCGCTGCCAGATTGTGATGGATTTATGAGATGTAGAATGAATGTAGAATGTTTAGGAAGGGAGTTAATCACCGCGACCTTACAGATCTGTTGTGTGTTCCCCTTTCTTGAGTTATAACGAGTTTTAACTCATTATACAGTCTCAAGACTTTAACAAAAGCCAGTATCTGAGACGGCTCCACAGAGGCCAGCTCTCCATCCTCGACATCAGCCGTACCAAAGTTCATGGCACGAATATTTATGAGATGAATCTTAATTTAAAATTGACAAACAATATATTTATTATATTATTTTTTAAAGAGTTTTATGTTTTATTTTTAATTTAATAACTAATATTTTAGTGCTTATTTGCTTTATATCTTATGTTACTTATTACATATTGGCAAAAATTAGTCCATTATGAAGATTATTATAAGCGTTATTATGGGTTATTAATTTATTGATGTACATCTTACGACGCCATAAGTGGTAATAACAAGTAAGAGGGTGCTATTAATGCACAAACTAATAATCACAGAATTTAATAAAAACTAACTTTGAAAGTGGTATAATGTGCTTACAAACAAACTTACTTTTCTGACTGCAGTCAAGGGTAAAAAACCTTTATTGTCACGTTTGCGTTCAAAATAATTTAAAAAAACAGGGAAGCTACAAGTTCTTTACTTGGACTCTTTAAATGCTTCGGCATATTTTCGGCAAACACACAATTTCAAGAAATGCAATAGAAAAACTCGAAAATTTAGTTCTTAAAAGAACTGTTTGTGCTTAAAAGTGCAATTTAAAAAAAAATACTATGTAAATAAGCAAAAAATCGAGAATTACAAAGATTTAACAACAACACGATATTATACAAAATAATGACTGACACTAGGATAATTGTCAAATAATAAAGGACAACATTGCTGAATATGGCGCAATGTGACCAACATAGCGATAATAAAATTCGGTTTAAACTAATTTTTGCAGCTTTAATATAAATAAAATATCTGTTACAAGTAAAATGAAGAGGCTGCTCTGTATCTTAAATTATACAACAAATTTAAACATTTTTGCCAAAATTTCATTTAGTCAGGTTTATAGACTTTAGTGTCAATGTCGATATAATTGATGACGTGCATCGGAAAAGGTTTTGCGATTACAATAGTTACGTTCTGAGGATTTATTTTGGACCAATGTAATATACTGATTATTATTGATTTATTACACAAAGATAATCGCTTTCTTGTTTGAGACTGTTACATGTTTTTTTTTTAACTTGGTGGGTGAGCAATGGTTACAAGTGTTTTAAGAAATAAGAAGATGGGCAACCTTACGGGCGATTTCGTGGCACAAAATCTGTCCGAGATGTAGGTGGCGATACTGTCGCCGCTAGTCAACCTGTCCGAGATTTATTTCAGTTCTGCGCCGCTGGGCGCTGATAGTCGTTTACGGCGCAGCAATAAACAATACTGTGCCGTAGTTCTGCTTTCAGTCGACAGAGTGGGTGGTTGCCGGAGACAGTGTTGCCAGAACTACTCATTAATCCGTAAATTTATGGATTTTGGGTACAGTACGTTAATATTACGGATTTTCTATCATTAAACAATTTAATATAATATTATATGATTAAACAAAAGGAAATGAAGATTGTTGTTATTTCATATGTAAAATTTTAAGGTAAATGTCAATAGTCGTGATTTCCAAGCCAACTAAACGACTTTTTTCAATCAAACAAAATATTCAATACCTATAGAAGAATTTTTATTTTTGTTGTTTATTCTTTATTTAAAACGAGTAAATTTTCAATACATAAACGCGGATTTTTCATCCAAAAATATTTTCCTCAAACGTATTACAGATATTACACATTTTAATATGGCAACAACACTGCCCCTTTTAGTTCCACACCATCTTCGATATGCCTTCGCTAACCGAATTAGAGAAAATGAGTGTTATATGCGTTGGCCGCAGAACGAGTGGAGGCTCCACCGTACACCACTTGAGACGTAAGGGGAAATCAAATCAGCCTTGTCACGAATTCGCCCATTAGGTTGCAAATCTTCCCAATTTTTTCAATCAACGCTATAATACCTTATTTATAAAGGTACCTATTCTAGTGGGCCCTTTCTGGGTCTTAATATAGGTCCTTATAGATAAATCTAATTATACTGATATAAATTATATCGTTTTCAGTATAAACAGAGCAAATTGATCTTTGATGAATGAAATATATATTTTTTTTTCATTTTAGGAACACCAGCAACTGAAGGAGAAGCACCACCTGCTGAGCCTGAGCCTGCACCTCCAGGTAAATTTTTGATTAATTTGAATTATGCAATAATAAAACTATTTTCATGTTGTTCAAACTACAAGTAACGTCAGCCAGAAATATAAAAGAACAAAGTACAAATTAAATACTTTACTAACTTTTCACATTTTATTTTTACCACAGATCTAGAGATTTCAGAAATTCAGATATTGGTTTGTTCAGACAGTTAGGACCCTATTGTGATACAGAATAAGGGATGCCTTTGACGGACATTTGTTGATGTTTTTGTCAAGTGGTGCATAATAATAAAGTCTTTATACTATTTCAAGGTCTTTAATAGAATATTGCAAAGAATATATAGTCTTTACATAGCTATAGATACATACATATGTAGAAGTGATTATAATATATATTTTTAATAATTAAATAGTTTAATATTTCTTTTTTTAATGAATGTAATTTTTAGTACTATTAGTCAATAAATACTAATAGAAATAAAATAATTATAAATACAAATGAGTCACTGATTCGTGCAAAATGTGGTTTAATTTTTAAATAATAATCTTATTTCAAATATGTTGTCACTTGTAATTTCTACTGAAGGAGTAGAAATCGGCTATTGAAACGATGAGTATGTTTATACAAAACGATCTCGAGAAAATACGTGCTGTATACTAAAGTGTCCATAAACAAATAAAATAATGGGTCAACTTTCGTTTACCTGAAATCAGTTATTAGAAAAAAAAAATTTCTTTAAAAAGCTACTGTGAACCACGGAAAACACAAATTTTCCTGCGGAAATGCGTAATTTCCAAATTTCGCACTTTAGAATAACTGAAATCTGCTATAAAAAAAATACATTTTACGTTTTATTTTTAATATTTTTCTGAACATATAAACACAAAAATTTTCCTGCGGTAATAAGCTGTTTTCATTTTCTAAGGAAATTTATTAGACTTTAGAATAGCTGAAATCAGTTATACAAAAAATAAATATATTTTTGTCTTTTAAAAGCATTCACGAATTGAGGAAAATAAAAATTTTCCGGCGGAAATAAACTGTATCCATTTTCTGAGGAAATTTAATAGACTTTAAAATATGAACTGATTAGAAAAAAATCCTCTAACATTAGAATAGCCGAAATCTGTTACATTTATATCAATGTTTGTATTAAATTTTAGACATTTTCCGATTATAAAAACACAAAAAAAACTGTGCGGAACCTTTTTATTTTCATTTTATATAAAAAATGTTTAAATGTTTTTAAATGCCTTTAGAATAGCCGAAATTACGCATTTACGCTAGTTGTTCTGTTGAATTTTAGACATATTTTCCACTATAAAAACACCAAAAGAAATGTGCGGAATAGCCGGGGAGGTTGGCACAGTTTTTTGGCAGAAAGTCCTATGCTTATAGAACAGTTTAAAAGAAAAAATCCTTGGATTGGTTTGGTTTTAACACTTTTGAACCAAAAAAAATCATTTAAAAGTGTCTAAAATGCTAACCAATCTAATAATATTTTTACAAAATCACAGTTAATTATTAAAATATAAAAACCACAGCTTAACACCCTCCACAAAGAAAAGCTAACCAAAGCAACCCAAATCCTAACCAATCTAATAATATTTTTGTAAAATCACAGTTAATTATAAAAATATAAAAACCACAGCTTAACTCCCTCCACAAAGAAAAGCTAACCAAAGCAACCCAAATGCTAACCAATCTAATATTAATGCAAATCACAGTTAAAAGAAAACTGCACGATCCTATGATTTTTTGTTTTAAATCAGACCTATTTACGTAAAGCTTTAATAAAAAACAAGATAAGAAGTGCAACATTCCGAGGTACCGTTATAGTTTACAAGAACCTATATTATCTATTCTACAAGAATTGTTATTCCTCCGAAAGATGTTTTACCCCACCCAGCACCCCTATTCGCTCCCGGATCCCGTAACCTTCTACACTGAAAAATGTATGAAAAACCAAGTGCACAAAATGACATTGACACATTTCCGCAGGAATTTTTTGTATTTCTTTGCTCGTAGAGGCTCATATAACAAATATAAGTTCATTTTTCATGTAACTGATTTCGGCTGTTCTAAAGTCAACGCATTTTTTTATGTAAAATAAAAATAAAAAATTTCCGCAGACAGTTTTGTGTTTTTATGTTTAGAAAAATGTCTAAAACACACCCCAACAAATTTCGGCTATACTAAAGTCCGAAAAATGAAATGATGACGCATTTCCGCAGAAAATTTTTTGTATATTTTTACTCCTACTCCTAACGCCTTCTAGAACGCATATATAAAGCCATTTTTTATATAACAGATTTTAGCTAAACGAAAGTTTAGCCAAAATAATAGTTTTAATATGTGTTATTGTGTGTTTGTCCAGTTTTTCACAATTTTAATTCTGTAGGAATCTACGTTCGAGAGACTTGAAAAAGACATATACTGTCGAAACGACATCGATAAAAATAAAATAATAAACAAAATCCAGTAACATCTTTACAACCCCAACGACCTAAAGCCAAGAATAAAAAGAAAAAAATGTATAGTATACCAGGTCAAAGAAACGAAACAAAAAAAAATATATTTACTTATATCTTAGGACTATGTAAAGTGATCTGAAAGGAAGCAAAACATGCAATAATATACAGGGTATAAGTGTCTGTCCTATCATCTGTATAGCTTTTAGACAACGAATTATTCGATATTACAGTTTTTCTTATTCTCGTTTTACAGGCCCCTTTGAAACCTTTAAACAGCTAGTGCTTAACGCAAATTACGATATTGTAACGTTGCCAGAGACAGTGTTGGCCCCCACCGAAGACAAGGACGCCGTCACCATACCCCACTATTCTCTAATCGAAAATCGCAAAAATAGCGGTGACGGAGTCGTGATGTACATTAAAGACTCCCTTAAATACAAGGTTGTCGACTTTACCCAGGGAAATCTCGAGAGGCAACCCTCTCTCGAAGATCTTATTGAAAAACTGAAAGCCGGTCCTGGTAAGGGCTTCGTTATCATGCCACGACCAAGCACTATGTCTCATTTTTCGATTTTTCGCATCTCAGATTGATCAAGTTCTACGAAAACTTCATATAACGGGTGTTTTTTCAAAAGTGGCTCACCTTTATAACTTTTGTTGTTTTAGATAACATACTAATAATTGATATGTTAGTATAAAATTATATCAGTTCAGAGATTCTTGGTCACTGCATTTATGCAGTGCATTTATGCAGTGACCAAGAATTTACTTTCATGACATAGTGCTTTAACTATACCTCTACAAAATCCATAGTCACTATTATACCCAATTGCAGGTCCGACTCAAGCTTGATTTTCATGCATCCGTTGTCCGACGATACGATGATACGATATTAATTTTATTGGTTAAATTTAAATGTTTCGATTGGTTAACCGTTTCTAACCAATCAAAGTCTTTAAATTCAACCAATAAAATTGACATCGTATCATCGTATCGTCGGATAACGGATGCATGAAAATTAAGCTTCATTCGTAAGGAGGATGTTCTTTCTCTTGGCGATTCCATACAGGGTGACAATTTGAAAACGAACAGTATTTAATATTACCTCTACCGATGATAGTATGAAAATTTGGCGAAAAATACGCCAATTTACATATCAAGTGGGACAATTTTTGAGGCATTTGTTGTCGTGTTACTTTCAACCAGGGCACCTACCCCTAAAATTTTAAATGGCAACCCCTATTTCTTTTACTATTTTTGTGTTTCTTATAAAATTCACAAAATAATAATGCAGTTTATGTAGAATTCTATAAGAAACACAAAAATTGTAAAAGAAATAGGGGTTGCTATTTAATATTTTACGGGTAGGTGCCCTGGGGGTCATGGGGTTGAAAGTAACACGACAACAAATGCCTCAAAAATTGTCCCCCTTGATATTTTCATACTATTGTTGCGGACCCGTGTGGACTCGACCTAACCTAACTATATGTCCCGTTCTCAGATGACCTTAACATCGCATTAAAGAATAGACACAGTATGATTCATTCGTTCGAGAAAAATCGAGTCCCACTGGAATGGACTAGTACATACGAGAACATTCGAAAACCTTCTCTACGCATCTAACGATCTATGGACTATTCTAGAGTTCTTTACCTGTCGGTATAAAAGCCGGCGGCTGTGGCCTACAGGGGGCAGTTATAAATATACCAGTGCAGTTGACGCGCGAAAATTCAAAATAAATTCTTAGTTATAAATCGTTTGTAAATAGTTCTATAAGTCTGTTATCGTTATTGTTTTTGTTAATTAGTGTTAAATAAATAGTGTTTAAATAAATTGTGACTTTCTATCCACACGGAACCGACGAAAAACGTAACAATTGGTGTCAAGTGTGGCGTGTGTGATAGACAAGAAAAATAAAAAGACTGACCATGGCTCTAAAAAAATTGTTGAAAGATTGAAAGTGTCCGAACTGAAATGCATATTGGAAGAGAGAGTGCAGAGACAGATGGAAGGAAAAGCATTTTGCAAGCTAGACTGAGAGACGTTTTGGTGGAGGAAGGTGAGGATCCTGACACATTTTGCTTTGAGTTGGAAGGTGACCTTGACTCGTGCCTACAAAAATTAGAAAATAAAATGACAGAGAATTCTCAAAAATTAGACGACAACTTGAACAATTTGAATAGTAAAATAATTGACTTGGAAGTTAATTTAGAAGAGAAAATCAGTGATAAAATTATGGAAAATTCCCAGGATTTAATCAATACATTAGAAGATAAGATCATCGAAAATTCTAAAGATATACAGGCCAGCTTTAATAATAAAATAATAATTTTGGAAGAAAGTTTTAACAATAAAATAACAGAGATTGAGGAAGATGTAAATAGAAAAATCGAAATTTTGAAAGAACAAATAGCGAAGTCAAATTCACCAAAATGTCAAGAAACATCGGAGGCACCGAAACTAGTCGAAAATAAGTATATCTCAAAGTCAGTTATTAAGCCTCCACAGTTTGACGGAAAAACCGCTTGGGCCAATTATTTTTGCCAGTTTGAGGCCGCTGCGAGCGAACGGATGGACAATCGCTGAAAAGGTTACCGCTTTGACTGTCGCACTGCGAGATGCGACGATATCCTGCAGACATTGTCACCATTGGAACAGGGAGATTATCAGCAATTGGTACGACATTTAGAAATGAGGTACGGCCAAGCTCATTTGGAACATGTCTATCATTCACAGCTAAAAAATCGCATTCAAAAGTCAAATGAGTCTCTGCAGGAGTTTGAAGCCGACGTAGCCCGCCTGGTTCGCCTTGCGTATCCTGCTACGCCCGAGAATGTTATGGAGCGGTTGGCAGTACAGACATTCTCCGATGGCTTACGTGACAGGGAGACAAGGCAAGCGCTTCTTCTAGCCCACCCAACGCGCTTGGTGGATGCTTTAGCACGTGCCCTAGAATTTGAGGCCGCGAAACAGTTCTCGGTCTCTAGTGAGAGTACGGGCGGTCAACCAATGTTCCGACAAATCCGTGGAAAGCATTGTACGGAAAGTCATGGAGGAGTACATGGGCAAGAAAGGACCGACTTGTTGCTGGAATTGCGGCCAGGCAGGACACGTAAGAAGTCACTGTCAAGAAAAAGACGTGGACTCGGTTTCGCCAAGTGTCGAATCAAAGGGACACATATGGAGCAGTACCCAACAGGTTCCAACGAAAACTGTTCAAGTCGCATCGCTACAACACAAGTTCAACAGCATTTTTGTGGCTAGTTTCGTGGATGGAGAGTTACGGACCATGCTGTTGGATACGGGTGCGACCAAAACGATCATCAGGCCGGATATCCTTAAAACATCAAAAAGGATTAAAACAACACAATGGCGACTACGTACAGCTACAGGAAGCTGCGCTCTCATCCATGGAGAGGTAGATCTTAATTTTGTTATCGGAAGCACCTGTTTTAATCATCGAGTGTTAGTAGCAGACATCGAAGATGAACTTATTCTCGGAATGGACATCGTGACCACTAGAGGTTTTGAACTAAACCTCAAACAAGAAATTTTGAAAATAAATGAAGAAGAAGTGGTTCTACATCGAAAATGTGAGGAGACGCTTCGCGTGGTAGTAGCAGAAGATGTTTCGATCCCTGAGCGCTGTGAGATATTTTTGGATGGTCGCCTGGAAGGTAAAACGAATAATGGGAGTATTATTCTGTTGGAGCCAAGGAACCATGACAGCGAAATAGGACGAGGGGTCGCTGTTGGAAAACCCCTGCTACGAGCGAAGAAGTCTGTACCGGTAAGAGTAATGAACACGAATTATCATTCTGTATCCTTGAAGAAGGGAACCCTGTTAGGGTACTGTTGTTCGGCCTCCTCAGTCATTCGAAGCGTGGAAGCCTCCAAAGTTTCGATTTCAAAAATTCCGGACAAAATGGTTAAGGAGTTAGTAAACGTTAAGGGATTATTTCCCGAAGATAGTAGAAAATTGAGAAACCTGATAATCAAGTATCAAGATGTGTTTGATAAAGGAGAAGCAGGACATAGAGGTCGTACCAATTTAGTACAACATAAAATTGACACCGGAGATGCACGACCAATCAAACAAAATCCGAGTAGACTGCCGCTCGCCAAACGTGAAGAAGCTGACAAAATCCTTCGAGAAATGAAAGAAGAGGGTGTCATCGAACCATCTAACAGCCCGTGGACATCGCCGGTAGTACTAGTAAAGAAGAAAGACGGTACCACCACGTTCTGTGTTGATTATCGGCAGCTCAATAATGTTACAAAGAAGGATAGCTATCCCCTGCCGAGGATAGACGATACTCTAGACACGCTGGCGGGGTCGACGATATTCTCTACTTTGGATCTGAAGATATTGGCAAGTCGACATGGCGCCAAGACAGAGAGGAAACAGCGTTCTCGGTGGGCTCCGGACTGTGGCAATTTACTGTCATGCCTTTTGGATTGTGCAACGCGCCAGCTACCTTTAAGAGACTAATGGAGTCTGTGTTAAAGGGACTATCCTGGACTACCTGTTTCGTGTACCTGGATGACATCATAGTGGTTGGGAAATCCTTTGACGATCATCTGAAGAATTTGGAAGAAGTTTTCAAGCGACTAGGGAGCTCTGGATTGAAACTTAGCCCTAAGAAATGTCATCTGTGTCAAGAAGAGGTACACTACTTGGGCCATGTAGTCTCCTCCCAGGGAGTTGCGGTAGACCCACAGAAGACCAAGACAGTGGAAGAGTGGCCGATGCCCAAAGACAAACATGAACTACGAAGCTTTTTGGGACTATGCACATACTATCGCCGCTATGTACAAGGTTTCGCCACCATCGCAAAACCATTGACCAGACTTACCGAAGACGAAAGGCGTTTCTCTTGGGACTCAGATTCTGACGAGGCATTCCGAAGATTGAAGAAGGCCCTGACTAGTGCGCCCATACTTAGCTATCCTCTTGGCAACGGAAACTTTATATTGGATACCGACGCTAGCAATGTTGGGTTAGGCGCTGTTCTGTCTCAGATCCAGGATGGTCAAGAAAAAGTCATTGGTTATTTTAGTAAGACCTTGTCAAAACCGGAAAGGAACTACTGTGTAACCAGACGAGAATTACTAGCAGTAGTTAAAGCAGTGGAACACTTCTACAAGTATCTCTATGGAAGAAAGTTCTTGTTAAGAACAGACCATGCTGCTTTGAAATGGCTGTTGCAATTTAAGAATCCTGAAGGGCAGGTAGCTAGATGGATTGAACGATTACAAGAATTTGACTTCGACACAGAACATCGAGCTGGGGCAATCCATCGGAATGCCGACGCACTTTCCAGAAGACCTTGCGCTAAGGACTGTAAGCATTGTTCCCGAGCTGAAGAGAAAGAAGTGAAACTCCTAAGAACAACTGTGGTTAATGATAGTTGGCAACCCGAAGATCTTGCAAATGACCAAACCAGTGACCCAGAATTAGGTTTAGTAATTAACTGGAAAAACACAGGCCAAAGACCAACGTGGGAAGAAGTTTGCAGATATTCGCCGAACGTAAAGAAGTCGTACTGGGCCCAGTGGAATTCCTTGGTAATAGATAACGGACTACTTCGCCGTGTGATCGAGAGACCGGAGGGACAAGAAGAGAGAGAAGGCAGATCGTCATTTCAAGAAGAGGGTCCCAGAAGTCTTGGAGGAAGTTCACAATGGAACCAGCGGAGGACATCTTGGTGTTACCAAGACACTTGGCAAGCTGCGTGAACGGTTCTACTGGGTGAACTGCAAAGAAGATGTGAGGGCCTGGTGTAAGAAATGTGACATTTGCGCAGCCATTAATGGGCCACAAAAGCGTGGTAAAGCCCCTATGCGCCAGTACAATGTTGGTAGTCCCTTCGAACGAATAGCGATCGACGTGGCTGGTCCTTTCCCGGAGACGAACGATGGCAACAAATACATTGTGGTAGTAATGGATTACTTCAGCAAATGGGTCGAGGCCTACGCGTTGCCAAATCAAGAAGCGTCCACGATTGCTGATGCCCTTGTTAAAGAATGGATCTGCAGGTTTGGTGTTCCCATGGAGCTTCATTCAGATCAGGGAAGAAACTTTGAGTCCAATCTGTTCCAAGGCGTCTGTGAAGTCCTGAACATCCGCAAGACCAGGACGACTGCTCTACATCCACAATCCGATGGGATGGTTGAACGCATGAACAGAACTATCAACCGTTATCTGGCCAAAGTAGTCTCTGACCACCAAAGAGACTGGGACAAATTTCTTCACCTGTTCCTGTTGGCCTACCGTTCATCCGTCCAAGAATCTACAGGGCAAACTCCAGCCAGCATCGTTATGGGACGGGAAGTGCGCCTACCCTGTGATCTGAAATTTGGTTGCCGACCGGGAGAAGAAGTCGCCGGAGAAGATTATGTCCACACACTACGTCAAAGGATGGACGACATTCATCAGAGAGTCCGCCTAAATATTCAAAGTGCTAGTGACCGAATGAAGGAACACTACGACATTCAAGCTGAGCATGGAGGATACCAACCAGGGAAGTTGGTGTGGCTATATAACCCGCAGAGACGTCGTGGGTTATCTCCGAAGCTACAATCCTCGTGGGAAGGGCCATACGAAGTCATGGATAGAATTAATGACGTCGTATACCGTATCAGAAAATTGCCAAAAGGAAAACCGAGGGTAGTCCATTTCAACCGTTTGAGCCCCTACCAAGGCGAAATAGAAGATCGTGCTGGGACCGTGAGAACCTGCAGCTTTGATCCCCCTGATTCGGAGATGTCCTTTGACGATTTCATGGCCCGATACAACAGCAGTGAGAAGGCTCGCTATGGTGTAACCAAAGAAGATCAACGAGACCTCTTTTCCGTGCCTCCTGATTATTCGCTCGCTCATTGTGTGGCTCGAGATTTGCGGATGTCCAGAGGAATCGCTGCGACGTTCAATGAGAAGTTTGGGCGTGTCGGAGAACTACGCCGACAGGATCCAGAGGTTGGAAGCGTCTTGAGGCTAACCGACAATGCACATGGTCAAGCAAGGCACATCTTCTACCTGGTCACCAAGGAATGGTCCCCGAGTAAGCCGACTTATCTCAATCTATGGAAGACCCTGATTGAACTGAGAGAAGCCCTGCTAAACAACAACATTGCACGATTAGCCATTCCGAAGCTGGCGTGTGGACTCGATGGTTTGAGTTGGCGTACAATCCGGAACATGATTGAAGTCTTGTTCAGATTTACGGGAATCGAGATCCTCGTTTGCTGCTACAACCCAAAGCTGAGATCGGGAGAGAAAACTGTAGACTGCTATTTCTACCAGACTTCGCAATGTACCAGGGGCCAGCTTTGCAAATACCTTCATTCACCGTGTACATCTCGGGACGAGCATGTACCTAAGAAGGGGGCAGTGTTGCGGACCCGTGTGGACTCGACCTAACCTAACTATATGTCCCGTTCTCAGATGACCTTAACATCGCATTAAAGAATAGACACAGTAATGATTCATTCGTTCGAGAAAAATCGAGTCCCACTGGAATGGACTAGTACATACGAGAACATTCGAAAACCTTCTCTACGCACCTAACGATCTATGGACTATTCTAGAGTTCTTTACCTGTCGGTATAAAAGCCGGCGGCTGTGGCCTACAGGGGGCAGTTATAAATATACCAGTGCAGTTGACGCGCGAAAATTCAAAATAAATTCTTAGTTATAAATCGTTTGTAAATAGTTCTATAAGTCTTTTATCGTTATTGTTTTTGTTAATTAGTGTTAAATAAATAGTGTTTAAATAAATTGTGACTTTCTATCCACACGGAACCGACGAAAAACGTAACACTATAATCGGTAGAGGCAATATTAAATACTGTTCGTTTTCAAATTGACACCCTGTATATGAAAGAAACATCGGAGAAGATCAGGCGAATAGCTAAGCAATATAAAATACCAAGAGAAAGAGTGCATCTACCAGGTACCTTGCGAGTGGAGTGAGTCGTATATTGGAGAGACGAAACGTCCTCTACATGTACGACTTGACAAACATAAAAAACATACGCAAAGAGGTGAAACAATGAAGTCGGGCATTGCAGATCATGTGTGGTCCAAGCGACACAACATAAAATGGTCGGAAGCTCGGGTTGTCTACAAAGAACCCCATTGAAAAAGCGCAAATTTAAAGAGGCCGTACTTATTTCCAACAATATTAAACAAACGGTCAGTGATTATTCTGACTGAAACATTGTGTAAGCAAAATAAATAAAGACAATGGAAGTCCGAAACCCTTTTAGTTTTAACACTGAATACACATGCCTTAAACAACACTGAGTGACTGAGTACATGTCTTCATTCAAAGATGCCTGCCCACTTCGCTATCCACAAACATTTAGAACTATATATTTCTTTATAATATGTGGGATGTTTCTTTGACTAGTAACTGACTAAACGTAATAATTTTACAGTAAACACTTCTAATATGAAAAATATTCATGAGAGTGTAATAAAACAATTTAAAAACTTTACCTTTTGATGTTTAAGGCGTTTGTATATCCGTAGGTGTCAATTCTGTTTTCAATTCAAAAAGAAATCAGTATTTTCTCGACGCCCAGGTTCAAATTTAATAAAACTATTTTTTTACTATTTCTCATTGACAATTATGTCAAATACAGTTAAAGGAAATTATATGTATTTTTTAGGCTACCAAATAAACTAGTAACCTCCAAAAGTTGTTTTTCCTATCACTAGCGACATGCCGTGTTCTTAGTTAAGGTTAATATTAAATTATTTTGTTAAAATTTCACCATATAAGTTTCCAGGCAATTAATTTAAAATACCGTATGATCGAAAACAAATGGCGTCCAGTTGGCGTGGAAATGACGATCGATGACATTTCCAATATAATTTTACATAAAATAAAATGACAGCGATCTTCATTTCGTAGCCATCGCTGATGCCGTTTTTATTCGATCATACGGTACCATTTTTTTAAGCAAAAATTGACATATGATATGTCATTTTCTATAAAATTAAATAATGTAAACAATGCAGAGGGTACTATACAAAAATCAAAAATTGTAGTAATAATTTCCGGTGAAACAGGCAGTAATAATAATGAATATAATACGTCAGTCAATCCAGATTTATGTCATATACTAACATACTAAATTTCATTATATTATCTGAAAAAATAAAAAATTATAGGGAAGAGTCACTTTTGAAAAATACTCGGTATGTCAACAATTATACGAAATGATATAGTTCTGTCATTGAAAACATTCCATTCAGATTAAATAAGTTTTTTGAATCATACCGTATATCGTAAGAAAGATCTCATAGTTTTTGTTGGACATTAACTTATTCACATTTTTGATTTGCATCTTAGTTGTGATCTTAGTCAATTTTTTTCTCTAAAAACTATTCATTAAAAAATAAATATATAATTTGGCTTACTTATATTTGCTTCCACCTTTAGAAAAGCGTGGCATTGTTTAAAGATGGCAAAACAAATATTTAGATGCTTCAAAATTCGGATACCTAATTGTGAGAAATTAACAAATAAACAAACTTTATTATTATCTTATTAAATTGATTTTTAAGCCATTTATAACTTTAAATGTCAAAATTAACATCCCCGAGGGCAACAGATTATTTCCGTTATTTCTTAAAAGGGATTTATAACCTTTGTAATCCCAAAATACTAGTAACACAAATAATTATTTTGTAGAAGAAGCACCACCTGCTGAAGGAGCACCTGCAGAAGGAGCACCTACAGAAGGAGCGCCTGCTGTAACTGCAGAAGGTCAAGCACCAGCAGAAGGTATTAATAATTAAACTTATTTATTGATGTAGAATGTATCTGCATATATTCTAATGAGGTTGCGATAAGTTTTTTGCGAGGGTTATTGAGTTATCTTGTACACTTCGCACTAAAAGAGGTTCTAAATTGCATGGTCTACTAGTAAATTTTTTTAAGCTTAAGGTATCACAACACAATTCATTTAAACCAAAAACTCGTAGCGTCAAAACGAATAACAATGTCAGAAAATAAATAAATAAATGTGGCAACCTGACATTTTTTACAGCAGAGCGATAAATTTAAATTCCAGTTAGTCAGCCCGGCGCCGAATATGTACATGGTTGGCAACAATGAATTTAAAAATCGCGCCCTCAATTAAGTAACTAAAAGTTTAATAATTGGTATCCCTTATATTTAGCTACCTAAAAATGTTTGAATTATTAATTAAAAATATATACCTTAGGAGCCGCTCCAACGGAACCAGTAGCGCCTGCAGAAGGTGCACCACCACCAGCCGACGCTGGTGCCACTGCCGAGGCAGCACCTCCAGCTGAAGCTGCTCCACCGGCAGAGATTACAGCACCTGCTGAAACAGCTCCAAGTGCAGAAGCACCCGCAGAACCAGCACCTGCTGCCGAAGAACCAGCCGCACCTGCAGCTCAGGAACCTCTTCCGGAAATGGAAGAGCCTATGGAAATGCCGTCATCTATGGATTCGCTACAAACTATTATTGAAGGTAAATAAAAAAAAGATAATTATTCTGAAGGGATGATGTAGACAGTTATATTTTTAAAAAGTAGGGCACTCCTATAACTTTTTTATATATTTAGATATATTGTTTTTACAAAAGTATTGACAATATAAAAAAGTTATTTTAACGCCTAGGCATAAACAAAGCGCCTATACATAAAAATACGAAAATATATTATTAAACTGACATAAAGTGTCAAATTCAACGAGCGGAACCATAGTTTCTCGATATATAATTACATACAAGGTATGACTTTCAAATATTTTTAAATTATTTAGAAGATTTGAAATTGTTTAAAAAATTATTTGTGGCGTTTGAAAAAAATAGCATGTTCTATTTGGAGTAAAAATTACACTTTTTGTGGCGAGGCTGTACGTTTGACTTATATACAGCCGAAACACAGAAAGTCATTTTTACTCCGAATAGAACATGCTATTTTTTTAAACGGATAAAGCGGATGAACCAGAAATAATTTTTTATATATTATATAAATCTTATTTTTACGTGAGGAATCTCCCCACGAGAGATGGCTCATATTTTTTGAAACACCCTGTATTTCTGGGGTATGCATTATTTTATGAACTTATATAAAACTAAGGTAATAAAATGTTTGTGTTTTAGCTGCTGCCTAAGGACATCTGAAATTTTATGTGGTTTTACTTGAAGATTTAGTCGTTATTTTTAATATAATGATACTTTAATCAATGTTCCAAACATAAATACGTTATTTATTGTAAATAGTTATAATTTTTAAAATATGTATTTGTTTTTCTTTTTATTTAAGAATTAACATTTATTCAAGTTTGTTTGTATCATTACTTGTTATTATTATTTTTGAAATAAAGCAATTTAAATATAAAAATATCTTATATTTTTTTGAATAATCTTACTTAATAAAAATAAATGAATATTCAAATTCAAATTCAAAAATACTTTATTGTTAAAAAATATATAAATTCTTGTTAACAAAGCATAATATTCCTAAATCTAAACCTAAAACATTGCCAGCAATCTTAACATTATAAAACAGTTTTATGAAAAGTAAACAAATGCGTGTAAATATAAAAACAAAAAACAAAAAAATTGTATAAATATAAGATTGAACAATCAGCAAAACAGGTTTAAACAAACTAAGTAATATAACATGCAATATACAGAACAAATATAAGATAAAAAAATTCTAAATTCTAAACACTAATATCAAGGGTGTCCCGGTAGAATTCGTCAACTCTGTAAAATGCCCTACTTAAAAGTTCTTTTTTCAGTAGCCTCCGGATGGTTTTTATGGAATTAACCAATCTTAAAGCAACCGGCAGATGATTAAAGACCTTTCGGCCCTCATATATTATAGATCTTCTGACCAAGGTGCTATTTGGAAGTGGCAAGGGCAGAATACTACTACTATGCGCTGATGCGTTAATGCGATTCTACAACCCAGCACAAGTACACTGTTAAGCGGCCCATACATTATCAAACAAATTGCGCAGCAAAGCGATGCGCAACGTTGCGTTGCACAACTGCATCACCCATGCACTTGGTAAAATTTTGATCAAACTTTTTATTAAAATTTGTGCATTGTTCGAGAAACGATCATGTCCTCAATTGCCATTGTATCAATTATTATCGTACATACCTTAGATGATGTCGATGATACCAAAAAAACGAAAAAGAAAACAAAGAATTTGGATGAATGAACTAAAATATTGCACAACGAAGCGCATCACACACATACACTACAAAACGCGTTGCGCAAACAGTTCTGTTGCACAAAAGAATTTAAACATTCTTGAAACTTAATAAACAATTGCGTAACGCATCAAACAGGACCATACATTGGCAACATGGCAACTCGTTGCGCAACAGCCTGTGCTGCGCAATTGGTTCGATAATGTATGGGCCGCTTAAAGCACGTGGAACTGATATAACAAGAAATATAGGGGTACTACCAATATCGGCAACCAAAATATTAAATATTATACAAAAAAAAGCATATAAAATATTAAAATTAGCTATAGGCATGCTATTCGCCAATATTCATACAAATGACAGCGACAGCCATATTGATTTACCCAAGTACCCACACTCCCATACTCACCATAAGAGAATTATGGCGCTAAATTTAAAATCGTATAAAGGATTATTTCCAATAAAATAAGATCTTTTAAAAGCTGATGTTCTATAGTATAATGTTCTATATTCAGAATAGTAATTTTTACTATTCCGAATTTTCTTTTAAATAATACTTTTTTGTAACTAGAACGAAAGAAAAAAATAAATATAAAAATCTAATTGTAATGTGTGTGTGATATTCCCCGAGTAATATAGTTCAATATTTGAAAAATATTTTTGTTAAAAACATTTTTCTTTTAAAAGCTTATGGTAATTTACAAACAAATAGGTAGATTATGACTTTTTATATTTTACATATTTTTCCGATTCTAGTTCCAATATAGTACCTAAAGGGTACATCCTCAAAACGTCCGTTTTTAGGTCCGATTTGAGTCCCGATTCGACGTACTCAGGACGTCCCTCGGTTGTCTCGGATATTGGGACCAAACTAGGATCTAAAACGGACATCCTCGGGATGTCTGTGCTATATTGGTACCGAAAGATTTGTACGGACGGCGAACAACGCGTCTCCAACAGATCCAATCTCTCAGAAAAAAGGCCTGCTTCTTGTTTTTAGGATTGTTTTTCACCTTCCTTCCCGTATTTAAAGTCGTATTTGTAAAACGGAAAAGGAAGATAAAATGACAAGTGACATCACCATGACAAATGATCAAGAAAAGTGAACTGTAATATATGAAGTTTGGCAAGTTCGACATCTAACGAATAGATGAGGTTAGAAAAATATACTAAAAATTAAATATTTAGATTTAATTTTATTAGAGAAGAAATAAATACGCTACAAAAAAAATGCAGGTCGCACAACGATCAATGGAACGAAATATGCCCGGAATAACCAAGAAAGACCGTAAAAGAATAGAGTGGATACGACAATAGGACCCAGGTAATAGAGATGTCATCCACAGAATCAAATCCCTCAAGTGGCAATGGACAGGACACCTGGTAAGCACAGACAACAGATGGCCCACAAAAATTACAGCATGGTACTCACTAGGAATCAAGAGACCTAAAAGAAGACGGGATGGGATTATGATATTAGGAAATTGACAAGGATAACTTGGGCCCTCATACTCAATAATAGACAAACATAGGGTCCAACTATAAAGAGAGTATCTAAATATGTGAGGGAAACTACACCATAATTGGAAATGGTTGAATAAGCTGAAAATGATGATGATGATGATGATGGCAAAATCGCTGATAAAATACACCAATGCAGGTATTCTAAGTGGACCACCTCACGGTTGACTGCATGTGCAAATACCTTGCTGCAGTGTAAAAGCTCAGTAGTTTTAGAAAGAGTTTTCAGAGTTTAGTTTACACTTGACAACGGTCAGTGATCCTTCTGACCGAAACGTTGTCTTAATGAAAATTAATAAAGACATTGGAAGTCCGAAATTCTTTTAGATTCAATACCGAATCATTGTCTACCACATTCGGAAATAACATCTGTTTAATATTAAAAAAAAAAAAAATTTTTGAAAAAAACTAAACTTGTATCCTTTACAAATGATAGCCCAGCGACAATAGCTCCAGAATTGGCTAATGTGCCCGAACGCCGATCGAGATCAGTAGAAGCCGCAGTCCTATGGACCGATGGATATTTCATTCTAAAAGCTGTGCCCGGCCAATGACGCAAACATGACGTCATACCTTCGCCGGAACAGGGCGCTCACTGAAGGGGTAAGGGGGTAACCGTTCTGGAGTTAAATAGAAATAGGTTAGAGTAGGAATGGTGATGTTTTAAAATTGTATCGATTTATAAAAAAAATGTGAATGATTTAGATAAATTAAAAATATATATTTTGTAAAAAAATATATTTTCGTTTATATTTTAATTCAAGTATACTATACACAAGACCATACAAAAAAAATCGCGCTACAATAAGTTTATATAGGGTGGTGTAAGTAAAAAAGTTCCTAAATTGTTCAGTTTCGGAGAGACACGGTGCATAAGTTCCATTTTTATTTCGATTTTTTTCCAAATAATTTCCGAAGTAACGTCACTATTTGGATGAAAATGGTGTCTGAAGGCGGCATAGCTGGGAAACTTAAATGGAAATGACGGTTCATTAAAAATAGTTTTTCCTCCAAGATGCAGAGGCGCAAAATATCAAAACTGTCAATATTAACAATGCAAATGTCAATATCTGACAATAATAAAATTTGATTTTTAACTGTCACTCAGAGACGCTTTTGTTATAATTTTACGGTTTGATTTCGTTTTGATTTGTCGAATTATTGTAAAATTAAATTCCTTCAGAGTTTTTGCCAGTATTCTGTTTTAGACAATGTTTTTTAAAAATGGTGGGACAATTTGTGTTTTGTATAGACTCTTAATTATTTTTATCATGGAGTTTAATTGTTGTACACCTGGTTTCCGAAGGATACAATGGTAAGTAAATTAAACATATCTACTTACAGTTATAGATTTTTAAATTAGTACTGCTTATAAATGCTACTTGCTAAGCAGTTATTTAATTTTTTTTACGGTCCATGTAAGGAATTAAGGACGCGCGTTGTGTTATATTAGCATGATCAGCAGATTATTACATCTAATTTAATTTGTTTTTATTATTTCAGGTCTCAAACGGAACCAAACTGGGAATCTTGCCTACACCAAAATTATATAGCCGTTTCCAATTCACTTCAAAGGGATTAACAAAGGGAGGAAAATGATGTAAAACTGCCTGCTATTTGCTGAAAACCGCCAAAGATTAAATTATAACTGTAACAACTTAATATATATATATATATACTATTTCTAGTCTTTTTAATATATTTTTTAATTAATATCCGACATATAAGAACACTTTGTATGCTTTTAATTAAGTTGATTTATCGTTTATAATATGTTCGTCCTAATTAAAAGCACACAAAATGTTCTTACATGTATGTCTAAATTTATTTTAAATTAACTAAAACACCCCTTCCCCGCACCCCTCTCTTCCGTTAGTATTTCTTCCTCCGACTACCAGAGGCGCCCTTGTATAATAAAATTGAAATGTATTATAAGTTGCCTATCTATTTAATAGTATAAGTCTTTTATCTATGGAAGGCGGGTTGTCACTTGTCAGTTTCACTGACGCAGTCTGACTGATTCATTATCAATGAAAAATAAAAAACAACGATTGTATTCACACGTTTCATGTTTTTCTACATTCAGTATTCAGTTGGTCCAAACATTGTAACGTAGTGATTTCGTAGACATTCAACTTTTGACTATTAGCTACATTAGAAATTGTGATGTTGCCAATATGTGCTCAACGCGCTGTGTGCTCAACGCTGCCTTGCGTTTCGCTGATCGAATACTTGCGCTCACCGCTTTGAAAGCGTAACGTTTTTATGTCAAAGTTATAGAATACGGGCCCTGAAAGCGCTGTGAAAGCGCTGTAAGAGTTTACAATGGTCTGATATTTTTTTAGACAATAAACTAAAAATTTAGAGGGCGTCGTGAGAGAAACGATCAACTTTGTAAATAACGGACACCCTACTATGCATGCTTCTTCTTTTTATGCTCATTCCATTTCAGTTTAGCGTCTAGAGTCGACCACTTCCTATCGATACATGCGTACATCTCTAGTTGAAA